GAGTGTTATGTTAAGTGAAATAAGCTGGTCAGATTAAGACAAGTATCACATGATCTCACTTATATCTGGAATCTAATGAACAAAATAAACTGATTAACAAAATAGATCCAGAAACATGGAAGAATGGAACAGACTCACAAATCTCAGAGGGAAGGGGGGAGGAGGGAGTGGGAAGAGATTAACCAAAGAACTTATATGCATAACCCATAGATACAGACAATAGTGTGGTGAAGGGCTGGGAGTGGAGTGAGGGGGTCAATGGGGGAGGAAAAGGGGACATCTGTAATACTTTCAACAATAAAGATAAATTTTTAAAAAGGTAAAGATAAAGAAAGAATCTTAAAAGCAACAAGAGAAAAACAACTAGTTACACACAAGGGAATGCCAATAACACTATTGGCTTACTTTTCAACAGATACTTTGCAGGCCAGAGAGAGTGGTAAATTATAGTCAACATGATGAAAGGGAAAAACCTACAACCAAGAATACTCTACCAGCAAGGTTGTCATTCAGAATTGAAGAAGAAATCAAGATTTTCTCAGACAAGCAAAAGCTAAAGGAGTTCATCACCACTAAGCCAGATTACAAGAAATGTTAAAGGAAATTCTCTGAGTGGAAAAGGTCACAATTAGAAATAAGAAAATATATGAGCCCTGGCCAGTTTTGCTCAGTGGTTAGAGTGTGAGCCCATGGACTGGAGGGTTGCAGGTTTGATTCCTGGTCAAGGGTATGAACCTCAGTTGCAGGTTCAATCCCTGGCCCTGATTCGGGCACATTTGAGAGGAAACCAATTGATGTGTCTCTCTCACATTGATGTCTCTCTCTCTCCGCCCCCCCCCCATTCCTTCCTCTCTTCCATTCTCTAAAAATCAGTGGAGCCCGGCCGAGCGTGGCTCTGTGGTTGAGTGTCGACCCAGGATCCAAGCGACTGGGGTTCGATTTCCGGTCAGGGCACATGCCCGGGTTGTGGGCTCGATCAATGACTCTCATCATTGATGGTTCTGTCTCTCTCTCTCTCCCTCTCCTTTCCTCTCTCTGAAATCAATAAAGATATATTTTTAAAAAATAAATAAAAATAAAAATCAATGGAAAAAATATAGTAGGGTGAGGATTATAAATAAATAAACAAACAAACAAATAAAATACTTTAAAAATAAAAAAATATATGAAAGAGAAAATCTCACTAGTAAAGGCAAACATATAGTAAAGATTGTAGACCAATCATTTATAAATCTAGTATGAAAACAATTAAAATGGCAATAAGTATACACCTATCAATAATTACTTTAAATGTAAATTGACTAAGTATTCCATTGAAAAAACATAGGGTGACTGAATTGATAAAAAAACAAGACCCTTATATATGCTGCCTATATGAGACTCCAGATTGAAAGACACACACAGACTGAAAATGAAGAGATAGAAAAGATATATCATGAAAATGGAAATAAAAAAAAAAAGCTGTGATAGTAATCTGTATATCAGACAAAATAGACTTTAAAACAAAGGCTATAACATGAGACAATGAATGACCCAGAAATTCCACTTCTGGGCACTATCTGAAGAAAATGAAACACTAATTTAAAAAGATATATGCACCCCTGTGTTCACTGCAGCATTATTTACAATAGCCAAGATAAATAAGCAACCTACGTATTCATCAATAGGTGAATGGATAAAGAAGAAATGGACACACACACACACACACACACACACACAGAGGAATATTACTCAGCCATGAAAAAGAACAACTCTTGCCATCTGTAAAAGCACAGACCTAGGGGGTATTATGCTAAGTGAAATAAGTCGGAGAAAGACAAATACTTCATCATTTCACTTATGTGTGGAATCTAAAAAAACTAAGCAAATGAACAAACAAAACAAACCCATTCATTGATACAGAAAAACTGATAGCTGACAGAGGGCTGGGTGGTGGGGGTATGGGCAAAAGGTGAAGGGAATTAAGAGGTACAAACATAACATAAATCAAGTCACAGGGATGTAAAGTACAGCGTAGGACATACAGTCAATAATATCACAATAATTCTGTACAGTGAGAGATGGATAAGGGACTTTTGGTGGTGATCACTTTGTAAGATGTAGAAATGTGAAATCTATGTTATACACTTGAAACTAATACTACTGTATGTCAACTATACTTTAATTTAAAAGTTTTACATCCCAGAATAAAAACTAGACAAGAAAAAGCACATGATTGGTTGTGGGATGGGAGTTTGCTGGAGGAGTCAGTGATGCAGGTTGAGAATCATGAGAGATATAGGAGAAAACTCAGGGAAGAATGTCACAGAAGTCTGGGAAGAAAGAATTTTGAAGGAGTGGTCAAAGTCTCAAAATACAAGGAAAGGCCAAGTAATATTTTACATTTTTTGAGAAATGTCCCTTCATTTCCCAACATGTCAGTTATTGTTGGCCTCAGTGAGTGCCTTCATGAGGACTAGATGGGAAGTGGGGACAAACTTGCAGTTGTTCAGGCAACTTGACTGAGAAAAAGTAGGACTGTTTTTAATTTATTTAAATATAGGGGAGATTGTGCCTATTTGTGTGCTGAGAAAAATAAACCGTACATAAGGAAGTGGTTTGGGAGGAAATGGACTCGAGCCCAGATATAGCTGAGACTCTTGCTTCATTGCATGTCTGAGTGCGGTGCCTAAAAGCAAGATGTCTGGTGCAGAGTAAGGCAGTGGGTGATGGCCTAGTGAGGTATAGGGCAGAATTTAACCTTTAAAAGACGGCATTTAAAAAGACAGCATCATACAAACTTCATATATTTTCCAGGACCAACTGTACAAATAATGGTTTCTTTCCTTTTGCCTGTAAAAAAGAACGTATATGCTTAGGTTTCTGAGTATTTAACTAGGTGAACTTTGTCAACATAAGAAACATTTAAACCTGTGAAGAATATTTGTGAGTTTATTTGAGCCAAAATGTCAACAATTGTAGGGATGCACAATCTCAAAGGATTGAGATAAGGCTTCAGGGAAGGGCAGTTTTACCTTATTTTATACATTACAATCAAAAGAGGTTTTATGTGGGTTACATGAAACCCATTGGTGATAGATTAGGGAGGCCAGATAAAACAAAGAGGGGAACACTCTGGGACTGGGTAAAAAGTAAAATGATAGACACATACTTCTTTTACACAGGTGGGTATAGGATAGTTAACAGTCAATAATGAATTCAATGACAATAAGGGGATTTGTGGTCTCTGAAGAGCGGTATCTATGTTTTTGAGGGGTTCAGAAAAAGGAAAGTTACTTTGACATTCCAATGATATGTTATCGTAGATGAAAAAGACAATAAGCTCAGTTAAAGATTGACATTTGTCAGGGAAGATGTTGGCCTAGGGAATGACTACCCACCATACACTGTTTTAGTTAAAAAAGTTTTAATTTCAGACCATCCTTTGCGGTTACTTTAGGTTTCTGTTTGCAAAGCCGCCATGCAGGCCTTCCCTGAGCTATCAGGCTAGCATAGTTAACAGTCAATAAAATGCTGATGCTTATCTCACTGGTTGGGATGCAGATTAAAGTTGTTAACAAGAAGTTAAAGTCTGCCCGGCCAGGTGTGGCTCAGCGGTTGAGCATCGACCTAGGATCCGACCTAGGATCTGGGAGATCGCAGTTAGATTCCCAGTCAGGGCACATACCTGAGTTTCGGGCTCCAGCCCCAGTTGGGGGCATGCAGGAGGCAGCCGATCAATGACTCTCTCATTGATGTTTCTCTCTCTCTCCCTCTCCCTTCCTCTCTGAAATCAATAAAGACATAAATATATATGTATGTATATATATGAAGTTAACATCCAATAAAATGCTTATAACAGTGCAGGAAACAGCAAGCACATAAAAAGGTCAAAGTGCTTTCATTTCCCTGAATGTATTTCCACAAATATCATCATTTAAATTTCTGACTTATGTAAGAGCTTTCTCTGAATTTCCATGTTTGAATATCTTCTTTTTCATAATAGGTTACACAGATACCTCCAATATATGCTCCCTTTTCATGTTCAGCAGCACACCAAAACAGCACAGACACACCCCATTTCCCAGCCCATGCTGCCTACCAACTGGTCTGTCTTCTCTCACAAATTTTTGAGTCGCTTCCAAAACATCCCCTTATTTGCTATAAAGTGAGCCATAAAGAATTTATTAACAATGAAGAAAAAACACAGCTAAGTATCAGGTAGCCAGAGGAAATGAGATTTAAAATAAATTCTTGGAAGTGGTTATTTTGGGGAAGGGACTGGGGACATAAATAATGTTTCATCTAAAAAAAATCTGAAGCAAACATGATTATTAAGATATGATAAAGCTGGGTGGTGGTTATACTGTGTTTATATTATTCTACACATTTTTATGTTTGAAATACTGGACATCATTAAAAATAAAAGTACTGTGGTAGAGAAGACATACATGACTGTGGTTAGAGTACAATGATTACTATGAAAATAAGCAAGGTTCACGAAAATTTTCATTTTATTTTTATTTTAAAAAAAGATTTTCAAGTTGAATTTTAGAGAGGGTGAGGGAGAGAGAAATATCGATCAGCTGCCTCCTGCACACCCTCTACCGGGGATCAAGCCTGCAACCCGGGTATGTACCCTGACTGGGAATTGAACCAGCAACCTTTTGGTGTACAAGATGCTGCCCAACTGAGCCACACAAGCAGGGTGACACTTTCATTTTAAAAATCTCGTTGAAAAATGCAGGAACACACAACACACAAGGACTGCTTCAAAAAGAATTTTTTAAAATGTCAGGATGTCCCCAAAAAATGTATACACACTTTAACAGCTGATGGTTCAATTTTGAAAATGAAATGTATTTTAATAAACACTGCCTTTTACACACTTCAAAGGGTGTGTATACACTTTTTGAGATACCACACACACACATATATATATCAAGTAAACATTTCACTGAAATTAGTTAATATGGATTTATGTTGTACATATATTAAAAGTTAGTATAAAAGGACACTAATTTTCCAACTTTCTGAGCTTATTTATTTACAAAAAAAACCCATACAGAATGGTTCAAATAGACAAATCATCCAATTCCTACTTTTGTAGTGGGAAAAAAGGTATATGATACACAATTATCATGGCCTATATTGATTAACTTCACAAATGAAATTGACAAAAATTACAAAAATCTACATTTTAGCACGCTAACGTTGCCAACAGGTGTGTATGTCTACATTTACATAAACTCAGTCTATACCCACATCATCCTTTTTTCACCCCTTCCCAGTATCATTCCATTTTCATCACACCCTTGCTGACTCCATCTCTACTGTTGTGGAGCACTTCTGCCCAAGTCCTCTGCCATACATGTGTGTGCTAGTCCATTGAGATGCACCTAAAAACATGAGATTCCAAGAAAGAACAGGTACCTGGCACGTGGCCTCAACTCCTACTGAGTGGGGCTGGATGTCTTCCCAGCCTCCATTCACTCCTTTAATTGTATTCCTAGTAGGCTTGCTTTGCATCCTGAGGAGATTCACAGGAGAGAGGGGCAGACTCCTTTGTGCCCTAAGATGACTGGAACCAGGAAATAAGTCTGGGCAATTCTCCACCCCCTGGTGGTGCCCAGAGAACACAGGTAGGCTGGTGTAGTGTGGCCCTGGGCAGGGTGGGGCACTAAATCCACAGCCCAGGTGAAGGGAGCTGAGGTGGGGAAGCACTGGGACAGAATGGGCGGTTGTTTTGGTCAGTAGTTTTGAGGTCTGATGATCTTCAGGTAAATGCCCTCATGATCATTGGGCCCACAGGAGCAGAGGTGAAGGCTGGAAATAGCACATCCCACCATTGAAGGTCTTGATCAGGCTACACTGATTTTTTTTAAATTATAAAAATAATAATATTAAAGAAAAATGTTTACAACAGGAATAAGAAGTCATAGAACCTTACTGCTTTAACATAAATGTTTTCATGGTCTGTTCCATCACTGACTTGAGACTTATGACTTAAAGGCTGATCTTTTAATTTACTTTTATCCCAAACAATAGCAATGTTAAAGTTATGATCAAGAAGGAAGCAGGGGCAAGTGAAGTATAGCAGCACTCCTGCAGGGTCCTTGCCTGGGACCACCCCACAGGATTCTCTGGGTAATGGTGGTAAAGGGGGCTCCTCTGGTGTGCACACATGGTGTTTCTCTAGGCCAGAGCCCTGGGCATGGCTACTCTGGGCTGTGTGAAAACTCCATCCCCAAGAGGGTTCTGTAGGTAAAAGGTACCCACCTTCTCCCTACAGAAACAGTGCAAGAAGGCAGGGTTAGTATACCTCCAACAAGATCCCCCCAAAATGATTGAGGGACTGAAGGATGCTCTTTAAGGACCAAATCTTACTCAGTTCCATTCCCAAAGCTTCTGAGTCCACCAGACTGGAAATTTTCTGAAAGAAATGCCTGGGAACCTTTCCACTGTCCTGCCATCCCGGGACCAGGTAAAAGAACTTAAAAAATAGTCAAAGAAATCCTTATCTAAAACAGTTGCTGTCCACTATCACCCCAGCCTGTGGTCTGCACTGTCACCTCTGAACATGAACCCACCAGGGGTCAGCCTGGGTCCACCAGAGCCACTTCCTCCTAGGGAAAACTGGTCACTTGTGCAAAGTCCCTCTTCCTTCAGAAGCACATGCTCACTTCCTGGACCGCCAGGGGCTTTCTTCTCATGGTCTCAGCTGTGCCATCAATTCTCTGAAATCATGTAACTGGGCTGAAAATGGGTGGGAGGATGGAAGTTGCTGGCTTTTGGGGGCCTCTTGGGACCAAGTCCTTTATATTCAACACCTATCACAGTGCCAAGACCATAATATGTTTTTCAACATTTAAATAATGGTTGCATGAAATTGAAGTAACAATCCACAGCAGAAGAAAAGCTCTAGGAGAGGGAAGTATGCGAGTATGCATGGAGCAAGGGCTATTCTGTGACCAGGTTGGGTCTGGAGCCCTTGCCACTGCCCAGAATTTGTTTGAACCTCTATAATGTCTTCTTTGTATACAGAAGCCCTGGAGGTCTAAGTAACCTCTCCACTTGAAGAGAAATGACTAGAGGATGGGGGTATGTATCTGGACTGTGTTGGAGAGGCAGGACTGCACAAAGGCAAGGGTTTCATCCTCAGTTCTTACCGTATAAGATCCCTCCAGGGACAGATACTGAGCCCAACCTGCCTGGACTCTACTGAGCCCCAACACTCTCAGGAGCATACGCTAGTCCTGGCAGCTCCCCTTCCCCCCAGGGCCACTTGCATTTTTTTACACAGGTAATCCATGTACATTGTAGAAAAATGACATATCACTCTTTATTGGACACCAGCCCCAGCCCCTTTCTCTCCAGGCACAGTGGCATGTGGGCAAAGGGCTCTGACCCCTGGCCAGGATGCAGTGGGAGCCTGGTCCCACCACCATTCTTCTAGGGCCAGCACCCTCCTCGGTTCCTGGGGTTGCTCGCTCAGGTTTGTTCAAACTCCTGTTCACAGTAGCCTACACTGAGGGGCTGGGCCTGGACACCTCGCCTGCAAAAGGACATGTAGAAACAAAGGGAGATGAGCCACGCAGAAGGGAGTCAAGCTTGGGCCCCAGCAACACCTTTACCACAATCAAGTCTTCCTTTCCCGCATTTCAGTATGCCACAAACTGTCACTTTATACCAATATTACTCAGAGGCTCACTTCCAGAGATTCTCACTTGGGGTGGGGCTAAGTGTTGGCAAGAATCTACATTCTAAACAGGTGCTCCAGGTGATTCTGATACAGGGACACCCAGGAACTTTGGGGAGCACCTCCCTATTTCTTTTAAAATTTTATTTTTTAATCCTCACCCGAGGATATTTGTCCACTGCTTTTCAGTTAGAGTGGAAGGAAGAGAGAGAGAGGGAGAGAAAAACATTGATGTGAGAGAGACACATTGATGGGTTGCCTCCCGCACACGCCCCGACTGGGGCCAGGGGTTGAGCCTGCAACTGAGGTACATGCCCTTGGCTGGAATTGAACGCGGGACCCTTCAGTCCAAGAGCCAATGCTCTAACCACTGAGCCAAACCGGCCAGGGCAAATTTATTTTATTTTCATTATTATTTTTTTTCCAAAAAAATTAAAGACTATTTAATTACTCTGTGAGGGTTAGTAGTTTTAGTCAAACATTTCATTTTTCAATAATCTGTTCCATCTCTAGAATCTAAAATGTATACATGCTTTTGCTATAATAACGTGAACTAATGTGCACTCTGTTGTGGTCTAAAGAGGCTACTGATTTTCAAAGGGATGTGAATTAATATTAATTTAGTAGCAATGTTTTGTTAGGTACTGAGCTTTTTTATTAAAAAATTTTAATGACATAATTGCAGCTATCCTCCTTCCCTCCCCAACTTTTCCCACCTCTACCCACTCCTGCCTCTCCCTCCCTTGGCCTTTGGGGAGCACCTCTCTATTTCTTTTAAAATTTATTTTATTAAAATTTTTTTTTACTCATTAGAGTGGGGGGAGAGAGAGAGAGAAAGAGAGAGAGAAACATCGACTTCTTGTTCCACTTACTTATGCATTCATAGGTTGATTCTTATATGTGCTCTGACTGGGGATAGAACCCACAACCTTGGCATACTGGAACGACGCTCTAACCAACTGAGTTACCTGGTCAGGGCAGCACCTCTCTATTCTAACCTGCCTGTCTCTGTACCCCAGCCCCAAATACTCAGTTCCTTTAGAAAAGGGGTAGATGCTTGAGGAGTACCCAGTACTATTGGTCCATTGAGCCCCCTTTAAGGGCTCTAAAATGCTGTGAATGCGCTGGTGGTAGGGGACTGAGATGCTATGCAAACCATGGGGGCATGAAAATCTGTCCTTAGTTTTCAGCCTCACCTCTAGGCATGCCTCCCTCATTATCCAAATAAGCAATGTGCTTAGAGAGAGAGGGAGCTAGCTCAGAGTGACCCAGTGAATTACAGACAGTTGAGGTTTAGATCCCACCATGCTTGGCACTCAGCCTGGGGTTCTGCTCTGCACTAGACAGTATCCCTCAGATCTTTAAGACCTAGTCAATGAATCAATCAGGGAAATGACCATCTTATATAGTCTTATCTGCAACAGGGGCAAAGGGATCCCTTAAAAGAGCCCATAAAAGCATGGCTGAGTAGACTCTAAAGTGGGCCTGGTTCAAATCCTGATTCTAAGTGACTTTGGGCAAGTTACTTAATCTCTCTATGCCTCGGTTGCCTTTCTCTAAAATGAGGATAAAACTATACCATATGGGGTTGTGGTGAAGATTCAATGAAATAATGCCTGTAAAGGGTTAAGCCTCTTTAAGTGTTAGCTATTATTAAGTGTTCTTTTCTTGTCAGTAAGGGGTGCCATGCCCTTGACCTGCCCACCTCCTTGGGAAGGCCCCACAGCCTGCTTACCTCAGCAGCTCACAGCGGAAGTGTGCCAAACGTTTAAAAGCAAAGTCCAGGTCAGTCACCAGCTTGTTGCTCCACAGCCTCTCGGCAACAGCCCCTGCTCTGGGCCTGCAGGAAAGGAGGCATGCAGCAGGTTTCCCTGGATTCCCTGCAAGGTGGTGGACACCCACAGGCTACTGCTTCTAGTTTAGGCTCAGGGCCCAGGGATGCGACCAGCACCTTACTCAGAGTGACAACCTGGCTGAAGGATTCCCAGTGACCTCAACACTCATCTCCATCTTCATTAAATGTGGAAAGTGATCCCACTCTTCCCTCCCACAGACACGGGAACCAAAGCAAGTCTTAAAGGCATCCTGAACTGTTACTGACAGTGTGGCAACGGCAGGTGTTGTGAAAATGTCAACTCCATACCCACCCAGGCCTGGTGAGGCTGCTGAGGAGGCAGTCTAGGGAAGTCCCTATAGGAATCATGGACTTCCATGTTGGATCCTGAGCAAATCATCTGTGCTCTCCAGGCCTCATTATCTCTATCTCTGTCCTACATACCTAATAGGCTGTTGGAGAAGCACAGGTGGAAGTCAGGTGAGGGGTGGATATTACACACAAGCCGAAGATCATTGCAATGCCCCTTCCCTCTCATGCCTGAAAGGAGGGTGCTAGTCTGGGGTGTCTGGATGGGACTGAATCTGTAAGGGAAACCCTATGACCACAAACTCAACCTCCATGTCCTCAGAAAACCCTTACCAGAGCCTGGGGACCAGGTTTGTGCTGTCTACATACTCTCCCCACATACAGGCCTCTCCACCAATCACCAGAGCCTTCTGCTCAGGACCACCTGAGAGGAAATAAGCAACAACACACAACTCTAAGGTTCCCTTTCAACCACCTCCTCCTCAGGTAGGTTGTTTCATTTTCTAACCTGAAATACCCAGCCTAGACCCTTCTGCCTTCCACCCCGGACCCCAGTCCAGCCTCCTCTGATCAGTAAGGTAAGCACCCTGCTTTTACCTTCAAATGATAGGGGATCCACCATATAAAAGTCCTCCCAGTCAGGGCCATAATTTATGCGGTTCAGGTACCAGGGGGCAGAGAGCAGAGCCCGAAAGCCGGCATTGGTGATCAGCGCCAGCTCCTTCCAATAGCTTACTGGTGCTTCTTCTCGCCATACCTGGATGATTGTGTCTGGCTGAACCTGTCACAAGGGTCAAATGGCGGTAATGGCACGTAGCTGAGGAGATTCCTGGACATTATTATATAGGCAGCCCAAGCCAAGGGACATGTACCTCCTCCTCTGCTTCTAGCGGAAAAACACTTTGCTGTGACTCTGATCCACTGAGCTCCTGGCCCAGTGCAGAGGTCAAGGATCCCATAAGTCATAGGAGTTTCCCGCCGTTTCATCCCCTGTCTTTCTCCACACTGAGATAGTAATACTGGCTATGAGCTAAGGGAGGCAAGCAATGAGGCCCAGCACACTCATTGGAGTAACCATGTCCAAGAGTCTCCAGATGTTTCTGAGGATGGACAAGGTTCCTGCAGAGCCCCTGCATGTGGCAGGAGGCTGGGATCTTATTGATCAACAATGAAGGAGAAGGAAACCCTGCTTCCATAGACCTGTAAGACCCTAGTCTATGACTCAGGAAGAAAAACCCAAACCATTATGCCAGTCTCAGGAATCCCAAGTAATCCAGGAGCAGAAATAACTATTGATCAATCTGTAGCGAGGGAAGATAGACAGAGGCCCAAAACCCACACCCAGATCTCTGCAACCTTTCTAGAGGGGAAAGAAGAGATGGCTCCTCATGCTCTAAACATTAAAGCTTAACCCAAATCAGGAGGATCAGTCCATGCAGAGGCAGGGAAGGGCTGGGAGACCAGAGGGAGGCACTGAAGGTGGTTCCTTCTCCCTCTGCCCCTGGCTCACCTTTACTTCATTATCAAACACCTCCTGCCACACCACGTAGCCCTTGCCATAGGCAGAGACGATGTTGAGCAGCCTGGAGAGTAAAAGAAGTATCTACTCAGCTCAGACAGGCTCTAGGCTGTTAGTGCCAGTGTTTCAGGGGTTGAGCCTAGCTAGGGGCCCATTCCTAATCAAGCAGTGTCTTCCCCACTTTGGAACAGACCACTCCAAATCTGAAACTATAGGACAAGGGACTCAGAGAGTGGTCAAGCAGGGCCTGGCCCTGGTATGGTCACCCCATTCGAGGTGACCCAAGGGACCTTGCCCACCCTCCTTTCTTTCTCACGTTTCGATGTAGAAGGACTCCAGCTGTTTAAAGTCATTACCAAAGCCTTTCTTCTTCATAAACTCCTGGATGTCTGGGTTGGACCTCCTAAATCCCAAGAGAAAATGAGGATTAATTCTTTCAACATCCTAATAGCCTTTCAAAGCTTGGGGATTAGTCACCTGGCCTCCCACAATTTCCTTTTTCACTTGAAATAACAATCAACTAAGGATCTCAGAGACCCTAAATATGGAAGGTATGGCTGAACAAAGCTGTATAAAGGAGGCCACTGACACAGGCTGAGAAAGTTTGAGCCTGGACCTGAAGAACTTTAAGTTCAAACTTTCTAAGAGAACACATATTGCTCTCCCTGGACTGTGACATGTGGCTCTGAGGCTCTGGCACAATGGATTCTGACTTCCCTCTCTAACCCCTACCCTGGGCATATTCTGTTTTTCCCTTACTATTTATTCTTGCTCTTTTTGTTTTGTTTTGTTTTTAATCTTGGCTTTTTAAAAATTGTTCAAAATATTACAGATGTCCCCTTATTTATTCTCTATTCCAGTTGGATACAAGAGTTGCTGCCACTCCCTTGCCTCACGATGTCTGTATTTTGCTCACATTTTCTCCTGGAATATTTTTCTCCTCTTCCATCTCTTGAAAAAGCCAAACTACTTTCCCAGATCCAGCTCTAGTGCCCACTTCTCAGAGAAGCCCCTCAGCCTCTTTTGAGCTAAGTAGATCTGGGGATTTGTAACTTTCACTGTCATCTCTTAGTCTCAAATTCATCTGTGTCTTGACTCTTCAACCAGACTATTTCAAGCCTTCAAAAGCATAAATTATTTTTCCCTATCCTGGATTTTAACAAGACAATTCTGTGCCTAGAGCTGGTTTTCCCATAAATATCTCAAGGATATGACAAGAGGAAGGGAGAGTTTCACATTTACAGCCCTGCCAAAATCAGACAGGGCCTCTCTGGAGAGAGCTGGAGAGAGGAAAGGCGCAAGACCTAAGCCATCTAGATTGAGACAGAATTGCTGTCTCAGAGGTTAGTCCCTGAGCAACACCTGAGATAGGTAGCCGGGCAGGGCCTATTGTCTATTCTGAGCAAGCAATTCATCAGGCTGGGATGGGAAGATCAAAGGACTCATACCAGCAGGTGAAATCCACCTCATCTCCTCCAAGGTGAAGATAAAAATCCGGGAAGACAGAGCTGACCTCCAAGAAGAATGTGCTCATGAACTCATAGGTACTGTTGAGAATGGGATTCACTGGTCCAAAGGTACCAGAGGGTTGAGACCCAGAGTAGCAAGGAGTCAATAATCCAGGGACACCTAAGCCAGTAGAGAACCCCACACAAGTATCACAAATACAGACTCCCAGGCCCAGCCATATACATAAGGGCATTAAGTCACACTAAGTTAAGACAATCATATTCATAAACACTATACTCACACAGGTAGAAACACTCAGAGGCTCAAAGACACTGGTAACCATGAGTGTTTAGTCACAATCAAAGAAATACTACTATATCCACAATTACAGACCGTCAGAAGGTAGGCTATATAGTCAGACAACTGTCAGCACACACTCTTGCCTTGACACACTGTTTCCAGTAGGGTCACCCTCGCTCCCAAAGGCTGCTCTCATACTGCCTTTAGGCAGAAAAGCAGAGCACCAATTTAGCCAAATTGGCAAAGTCTTTCTTCCACTCTAGGGCACAACAGCCTGCAAGGGCATCATTAAGATAAGAATGTGTGAGAAGAATTTGCCCATATTTTAATAGTAAGAAGTGGCCTCCTTCGCCCAAAGTAAGTTCTGCCTATCTAAATTCCCAGGTGGAAGAGGTTGACAGAAAAATTCTTCCAGGGACCAATGACATGGCATGCCACATCCAAGCACTAACAACTGAAAGCCCCAAGGAGAGGAGGATCAGTAGGCTTCCTCCACCCCATATTCTTACCTCGTCCCCAGGACAGAGTGTGGCCAGGAGTGTCAAATTCTGCCAACACACGGATACCCCGAAGCCGTGCATATTCAATCACCTTCTTCACATCCTCTGCTGTGTAGATGTGGGTGGCAGGGTTGTAGGACCCCTGAAAGGCACAAGACACCCCTAAGGCTCTCATTTCCTGAAGGCTTACAGATTAGAGCATACTAAAAATGCCTCCAGGACTCCCTGGATATCAGAAAAATCTACCCACAGCCCTTTGATATCAGGGACTATCTTTACAAAACGTATGCATAATTCCCCACAAGCTGTCACATATATTGTCTTATCTGTGTATCACACCACCAGTGAGGCAAACAAGGTAGGTATTATGCCCACCTGACAGAATATAAACAAACAAATAAAAAGAAAATGAGACCAGGAGAGATTATCTCCTGGAGGTCACAGAGAAAATTAATGGCAAAGCTTGGACCCGAACTCAGGTCTCCAGACTCCAAATCCAGTGTTCTTCCTGTGTCAAGTGTATCCCTAAAACTGGCTGGTTAGGAGGAGAGCTATTGTCCTTGCTCGCAGTGCCACAGATAGGCTCAAACATCATCCCATAAACTTGGTCAGGGCGAAATCAAGACATACCTTTCTGGTGAGCTCTGGAAAACTGAAGCTCTTGTATGGGAAGGAAGAGTCGTCGACCAGATGCCAGTGGAACACATTGAATTTATTGTATGCCATGACATTCTGTAAGTCAGAGCATGTACTGTGAACTCATCATAGATTTTCCAGTCTCAGCCTCAAAGTTGAGAAGCTGGGAAGACTTCCAGGCTGCTCCACACACCCTCAGCCAGCCCAGACCAGCATCCTGTCAAGTGTTAATAGGATCTATCAAACCTTCCCATCACGGAGTGCCTGACATGGGATGAAGACCCAACATACTTCTTTCCCCAGGGTACATCCAAAGATGGCTCACAGAGCAGTGCCTTCTCTTTTTGAAATGAGTTGTAGCCACACTGAGAGGAGGTTTACAGCTATGTGGTCTCCTGGAGTCTTCCAAAAGCTCCCAAGTACCCTGAAGACTAACACTTCCTCCTGCCATTTGTTTTGGGTAATCTGACTAGTATTCATCCAAACCACGAGGTCTATTGTGAATCTAGTAGCCCCATAACCCATAAATCTCAGAAGTCAAGACTGATGGATGTCTCCACTCCTTTGTTTCCAGCAGAGGAGCAAAGGAAAAGACAGACATCCAAGTTGGATCAGCAACCATCAGGCATGACTGTGCATCAAACTCAAGACAGTGAGGCACGTCCCCAGTTTAGGCTTTGGAACATCTCTTTCCTACGACCTTGTCCTAACCAAACTAAAGTTAGCTCTGCTGGTCCCAAAACCACCCCCTGCATCCCTGGTCCACAGTGGTTGGTGAGGTAGATTTAAATCCCTCTTGTTATGTTTTTGAGCTTTAGAGCAGATCACCCTTTACATTTTTCCTAGGAGCTCATAGTTACTTATACTCTCTCTAACTCTTTAGGAATATGGCACTTGGGCTATCCCGACCCATCACCACGAAGAAGGTATTAAGGCCTGGGTACCAGAGTGTCCAGGATGCTAGGCAATGGGAGGTAATGCCGAGATGTATCCAACAACAAGCCGCGGTGAGGGAAGCGGGGAAAGTCTTCAATCTCCGTCTTGTTGATAAAGAACTGTGTGGACCAAACAATGAACATGTCAGGATTCAAAGGGAACTCACCATGAGGGTGGGGTGGGGGATGAGGAAAAGTCTCCCGAGATCCCTGAGAAGCCACTCTGTGACTGTTTAGCAGGGTAAGTGTCTACCCAAATGCCCCATACCTCTACCCCAATGACCATAAGCAGGAACCTGTCCAGAGAGCAACTGTCCCAGGATAACCAAATGCAGCTGTCTCACACACCACTCAGCCTACAGATTCTGCATTTTCACTGACCATTAATATGTTGTTTTCTTTAAAATAGTGTGGTCTCAAGGTCATTACTAAATAATGACTGGCACTAAATTACAGTGATTCCAGCCCAGCTGGGCGTGGCTCAGCGGTTGAACATTGACCTAGGATCCAGAAGATCACAGTTCGATTTCCGGTCAGGGCACATGCCCCGGCTGCGGGCTCGATCCCCAGTCAGGGGCGTGCAAGAGGCAGCCGATCAATGACTCTCTCATCATTAATGTTTCTCTCTCTCTCCCTCTCCCTTTCTCTCTCTAAAATCAATAAAAATTGAATGAATGAATAAATAAATAAATAAATTACAGTGATTCCAAACAGGCTAAATCTACCAAACCAGTTTCCACCCTGTATACTCTTGCTGAGGCCATCTCAAGCCACTAGGACTGTCTTAAAGCAAAATAAGATATTTCCAGGACTCTGAAAGGTAGGAGCAAACCCAAGATTTAAAAGGGGCCCCTTTTTTGAGGACCACACTCACTGTTCCCTCAGGAGATCTCCAAACAAGCTGGCTGAAAGTCTCCAGACCTACAGGGAAGTAGAAAGGCAGAATAAAAACTTAGGGAGGTTGGGAAAAGGCACATGCATCTGGGAGGTACACAGTATGGCAGAGGATGTTGTCTGGGCACACAGTGAAAGTGGGTGTAATGTAGGTTTGATGATTCTCAACACTACAAAAGGGGGATATTAGGAAGCCGGTATCAATTTTTACTATATTTTATTTCGGAAGGTCCAAGTGTAAGGGGTTTTAGTGCCCCTTCTAGAAAAACATTAACCCTCAAAACCCATACACCTCTTACCTGTATTGCCAAAGGTGTGAACTCATAAGAATATTAAGAAGATGTGTGCTTGTAAGGACAGGTGCAGGGACAATGAGCCTGCAAGGGGTTAAGGCTTTCTAAGGATAATACTCATAGGAGCTAAGGGAGCTGAGAAAAAGAGTCCTCAGTTTGCTGTACCTGCACTTCTCCCGGATTGAATTGTGAAAAGCGATCATAATCTTCAGTTTCCAAGATTCCTGGGTCCACAGCTGGACCTACAAAGAATCATCCCCTTTTCCTCTTCAGAGCTTGAGAAGAGACCCAGCTATATGGATCTGAGGTATAGCAGGCAGCTGCTGCCCCAGAAGGACTGTCCCAGTCCACAGGACACAGACTCCTAGATTCCAGCTAGGCCCAAGGGCAGGCATGTTGAGTCCACAGCATGGTATGTTTTCAACACGTGGAGCCCACTTCTAAAAATCCAGAAGCTCCACGAAGGAATCCCAGAGTCTCAGATTTTCAGAATGAGGGAATCAATCCTTGGTCACTCAGCACCTAATCTGAGGCAGACTCCTAAAATACTGTTTGTCTTTGCTCCGCTTTGACTCTGATGCCCAGTGCTCTGGAGTCCCAGATTTCCCCTATTCAACCAAAGTAATCATTGGCACTTGCACAAAAGGTACAAGAGGGCAGAAAGGGGAGTTGACACGCTGTTTCTCCAAAACATAGGTGAGGGGAGAGAAAGGGCAAACCAAGCCCAGATTTGGAATCCTGTGAGAAGGTCTCTCATCCTTTACTAGCAGATGTTTTACCGAAAGTAGTAGAGGTGCTTGGCTAAGTCTGTACCTAGGGACCAAATTTCTTTTCAGTAAACCAAGAGGAAGGGCATTTTTTGAGATTTATCTATTTCTTTGATATACTTTGCCTTTTTCTAAAACCTGGCCAATTGTGTATCTTTAGAGAGAGCTGGAAAGGCAGTGTTTGTGGCAGAGTCGCCCTTCTCCTTAGCTACCTGTCTCCCACTGGCACCCTGAACAGCAGCCTGCAGGGTCTCCCACTGTTCCCCCGAGCACCACCCAGGGGAGCTGCTGCCACTGCACAGGTAAAACCTGTCAACTTCTAGGGAAAGCTGTAAGGAGAATACTCCTTTCAGGGGGATGGGGAAACACTCTACTTGCTCTCTACAAATAAAGCTTCCTAAAATGTGGGCAATTGCTGGTCTCCCAGCCCTGTCCTCCCACCCCACCAATGCCAACTGTTCCATATCACCGTTCAGTCTCTCTCCCAGCTTCAGCCCCACCTTGTTACCTCGCAGAGCTCCCCAGACGGTCTCAGAAAGGAGGAAACACTGCTCATTGTTTATGGTCAGGGTGTCTGGAACGACAGAAATGACCCCATGTTAAAGATTTCTACTCTCAGATTACATATCACATGTTCTGTAAAAATCCTTGGATTAAAAAGCAACAGCAAGATCACTTTTTTCTTTCTTTCAAAGAGGAGGCATCTCCAGAGCAGGGCAATGGCAGGTAGGCCAGGCCTGGGGCCAGAGTGGGAGGTGGTCACCTAGGGGCTCTGCAGACCCTAGATGACACATGAGGAGGGTCAGGCTGGAGCAGAGTCCTCTACAAACCACCTGCACTGTGGGTCAGTTTCTCCTCCAAGAAACATGAATTCTCATCAGCCTTTAGCTGAAGTATGAAGTCTTCTACTGGCAAAGGGAACAGTGATGCTCAGAGGGGTGAGTTCAAGTTCCAATGTTCACAAAGCCTTTGTAACCACCCTCCTTCCCCTTTGTCCCCAGGCTTCAGCTACCTCATCCAAGAATGTGAGGAAGAAGCCAAGACTTGAATTTCACTTTGGAGGCTGAGAAGTGCCCAAATGCTGCTGATCAGGGAAGATAGGAGGCAGTCACAGGACTTGACCTCATCTCAGTTCAAATGACCAAAAACTCCTCCTCTTCCCTACGTAGGAACTCTTAGAGAAAATCAGCAAAAGTATATACACATTCCTCCTAAAGTGGCAAAAGAATTATGCTCAGTCCTGAAGGCAGGTGTTCTGTGGGACTCAGTGAATAGCCAGTGTGGCAGTCCACGGTCAGCCTGCAGATAATGGTTAGAGGGCACAGGAGAAAACTCACTTTCTACGGCCCTTGGCACTTAGTGGCCCTTGGTCCCCACAGTTATGGAGGGTTTCAGGCCTGGCATCAGTGACTTAGGCCAGGCCATCTAGAGCTATAGCTCCAGACAAGTGCTTGTTTTTCTAGAACGGGAACAGGGTGGTACTTACAATTCTCCACTGACTCCAAAGAAGGAAGCTGGTCACATCCGGGAGTGACCACAAGGATAACCAGTGAATGCTTTTCCTCCAATGTATGCTGTTTTCCTGCAAGGGCAGTGTAAAGTTAATGTGGCTGACCTGCCATAAGAATCAACAGGCAAAACCAAAGCCCTACAGGAGGGTCCCTAGCTCTAGTCCCTTCAGTTCACCTGCCTGTGGCAAGAGAGAAGGAAGGAAAAGGCATGCACCCTTGGCACATGCACTGCCTACTCATCTGTTCAACTTTTTCATTTTGGTTTTGACCCGCCCTGGCCATGTATGAATGATCTAGTGTCAGTCCTTTGTAACCAGGACTGAATATTTCTGGCTTGGTACAGTCCAAGCACACAATTCCAAGGCCTCACCAACTGCTTTGAAATTAGAGGCAGCTCTGGAGCATTACCGCTCAAAGTGTGATCTGTGGATTAGCTGCTGATTTGTAAACTGTTTTACTGGTTGGTCACCAGACAGGAAGCTTATATGATGCCACAATGTAAATCAATTATGTCGGAATAAACACGGTTTAGTTCTAAGATTTTTTTCATATCAAGGTCTTGATGACGGGAACAGTTTTATATTCTGGTGTGTACGCTTCCCATCTCGTTGCAGACTGGCACGTGAAGTAGCACTGCTCTTGAGGGCTCTAGATGAAGGCTTTCTAGATGAGAGCTAATGTGAGCAGATGAAGAAGATGACAGGGGGATTGCCTGTGCAAAGAAGGCCTGAGATGATCCGGCTGGTGTCCCAGCAAAGGCACATGATCATCAGCCCATTCTGCTTCCTTCCCTCTTCTTAAACAGGTTCTCTATCCAAGGTAGAATTCTCCCAACAGTGGAAAGCCACCAAGTCTGAGCCAACATACTATCTCATATAGTCTTACAGATCACAGTACATGCTGAAAAAAAGCCAAAATACCAATGCTGCCTCTTCCCACCCTCCTACTGGTTCTTCTCTGTGACCTTCAGGGTGGTTGTGATTGTACTGTCCCAAACCTGAGCCTCCCTCCCCTCTCCCCTTTCTGGAGCCACATGTGTTCCCACTGGTACCACAACATCCATGACTTCCTGTGGGACTACAAAGTCAGGGACAGAATGGCCTAGCAGAAGGCAGGGAGAGAGAGTCCAGAACCAAATTGGAATCCCAAATGTTATCTGTCTCTAGGCATAAGGAACCCAAAAACATTGAACCATTTCAAGGAAGCCTGCGCACCCCTCCTGAGCATGACCACCTGGACACATCTCAGCTCTCAGAATCCCAAATGTTATCTGTCTCTAGGCATAAGGAACCCAAAAACATTGAACCATTTCAAGGAAGCCTGCGCACCCCTCCTGAGCATGACCACCTGGACACATCTCAGCTCTCAGAATCCCAAATGTTATCTGTCTCTAGGCATAAGGAACCCAAAAACATTGAACCATTTCAAGGAAGCCTGCGCACCCCTCCTGAGCATGACCACCTGGACACATCTCAGCTCTCAGAATCCCAAATGTTATCTGTCTCTAGGCATAAGGAACCCAAAAACATTGAACCATTTCAAGGAAGCCTGCGCACCCCTCCTGAGCATGACCACCTGGACACATCTCAGCTCTCAGAATCCCAAATGTTATCTGTCTCTAGGCATAAGGAACCCAAAAACATTGAACCATTTCAAGGAAGCCTGCGCACCCCTCCTGAGCATGACCACCTGGACACATCTCAGCTCTCAGAATCCCAAATGTTATCTGTCTCTAGGCATAAGGAACCCAAAAACATTGAACCATTTCAAGGAAGCCTGCGCACCCCTCCTGAGCATGACCACCTGGACACATCTCAGCTCTCAGAATCCCAAATGTTATCTGTCTCTAGGCATAAGGAACCCAAAAACATTGAACCATTTCAAGGAAGCCTGCGCACCCCTCCTGAGCATGACCACCTGGACACATCTCAGCTCTCAGAATCCCAAATGTTATCTGTCTCTAGGCATAAGGAACCCAAAAACATTGAACCATTTCAAGGAAGCCTGCGCACCCCTCCTGAGCATGACCACCTGGACACATCTCAGCTCTCAGGTCTGCCAAGAATGAACAATAAGGTGCAGCCAGCATGGCTTAGAGTTTGGGAATCAACCTATGATCCAGGAGATCGAGGTTCGAGTCCCAGTCAGGACACATGCCCGGGTTGCAGGCTCAATCCCCAGTAGAGGGCACGCAGAAGGCAGCCAATCAATGACTCTCATCATTGATGTTTCTGTCTCTTTCCCTCTCCCTTCCTATGAAATCAATAATAATTTTTAAAAAAGAGATTTGAAAAAAGGAACAATAAGAGGTCTTTCCAACCATCCTGAACAAACAGATTCTTTTCCCTCCCAGGCAATACCCTGTATTCTCACTCTAATACCTACCTAAACCCTGAAGGGAAAAAGGAATTTGAGGCTGCTCTGGGCCAGGCCAACTCACAACTCCATTCTAAATCCTAAAAACTCATCCCTATGAACACAGAAGGACAATGAGGCTTTCAGGGCAGGGACCACTCTCAAAGGAGGTTTTAACTGAGAGGTGGGGGTGAAGAAACTATAAAAGAACATCCCTCCTTAAACTATGCCTTCATCCCGTACCTCCTTGTACCCAGTCACATATCACAAAGCCTCAATATCACTATGTGGAGAGCTCATCTGCATATTTATCTAGGCAGCCATCCAAAAGAGGGTAAAAGTCCTGAGCTTTGATGTTAATCATCTGGACCTCACTCTACCAAATTGAGGAGAAATCACAACTAATACGTATGCAACTGCCATGGTCACTGTCCCAGTGACAAGAAAGGCTGTACAAACACCAGGTTTATTTGAATTATTACCTGGAAGAGAAGAAAACAACTAATTTTTGTAGCTGTTGCTATTATATCTTATTTTTCTAAAACATACCTGCACTCTACTCTCTAAATCCATAGTCTTTTAGAGGGAGGGTCACAGATTCCTTTGAAGATCTAATGAAAATGAAAGAATTTCCCCCCTAGAACAATGCCCCTAAATTAAGGGCTCATCCCTCCACCCCTGCCACCAATCTCATGGTAAAGAATCCCTGTCCTAAATGCACTCAGTGACTCATCTGGGTTTGGGCTGCTGCTTAAACAAGCTGAGGGGGAAAATCTGGGGGAAGTGGTGATGTGAGAGCTGACAAAACAGGAGGGGCACTGGCCACTTAAAGGAATGTAAATAGGTTATCACTGTGGTTTTCCACCTCCAACTTGCTGCTCTGAAGAGAGCAGAAAAAAGGCAGGGGACAGGCCAGTCACCTCGGCACACACCCACACAGGCTGCACAAAGATGCACCCAAGGTGTGGGAGGCACAGGACAGGAAACAGCCAGCAATCTCATGGGCACATTCACAGTAAGCCCAGCGGGGACAGCAGGAAATTCTGAAGCCTCAAGTGCTCAGGAAGCAGCCTGGAAAACAGAGCACAGAGCTGGAAAATCAGAAAAGGTTGGTTCTGGTTCTGGTTCTGCTGGTGCCAAGCTGAGCGAGTCTCAGGCTCCCATTTCCTCCCATGGAAATATTGGCAGGGTGGGATCAGATAGTCCTCCAGGGCCCCATTCCATGACCACTGCCTCCTATCTCCGCAGCCCCCTCATCTCCCTGCTTTCATGTGAACTTGCTCTTTTAGGGTTCACTGAAAAGTTCGTGTGTTTAATTTAGAAAGTTGAAAAAATTCAAATAGTACAGAGTGTTTACAATAAAATAATAAATTATCTTTGGTACCCTACGTTTGTCCCCCGCTCTGAAGAGACAACCACTGTTAGTTTTCTACTCTTGTGTCCCATTTTTAAACATAACTTTGCTTTATTTATCACAGGTCAGCTAGATGTGGAACTCTGAGATCTTTTTATCCCCGAAGTCCTAGTGGTGAACCATCTCCAGGTTCTGGCACTAGGAACCTCCCATCTCCTCTCTATTGTGAATTCTCTCCTACCTTCACTTCCTTCCCTCCTGCCCTAGATGTGGTGGGCCATCATCTCACATTCTAGCCAGTACACTCAACAACCTGTCTCTTTTATCTTCTATTACATCCAGTGGGCAAAACTCTCAACCCTAACAATCAGGTATCAGTGTGATTTGGCCACTGGTAAAATCATGGGTCTCTCATCTTGGCTGGGCCCTCGATGCTGCCCTGAAAATCTTCTGTCTCCGTCACTGCTACTTTTTCTATTTTCTGCAACAGCATTTCAAACTTATACTGCTATAGTAGACAGTTAGACAGGCATGAGCAGAGTAGGATAGGCCAGGCACAGGTCACCAGGGCAGAAAGTCTAATATGGACAATTGTAGGGTGGGGCCTTTACCCTGCCCTCAGAGTGACCTTTCCTCCCCTAGCATATCTCTAGTCATGCCTTTTAGACCTCCTGATCTTTCATATCACTGGTCATGTGGTTCAGACCCTCCCCTGGCATGTCACTAGTCTCACGGCAGACTCCCTTACAGGGGGAACAAAGGGGCCAGAGAACTCCCAAACAAGCCCTTGCACGATCACTCCCTTAAGCATTAAGACCTCAGGACAATGACGTTCTGACCATCATCAAATAATCTTAGGAACAAAGCCTTGGGTCTGTTGACCACAGAGAGAGAGTTTTGGCCATACTAGAGATAACATCCAGGCTTCAGTTGTTTCAGCTCCAGGCCCAGAAAAGCAGCAAGGCCAAGAGCGGTGCTGAAAGGTTAACATGGTGGTGGTGGGTGGGCAGGCTAAATAGCCATCTCAGATGGGTGAATAAAGAAAAATTAAATGTATTAAAAGGGAATGGGGACATCCAAGGAACAGGGCTACATAGCACTGAGTTAAAGGTATTGGGTCCATGACAGCAGCAAAATATAAACAGGGAAGAGAACAGAGGGAGCAACAGGAGAACCTAGACTGGGCTGCTCTGGATCACTGAGAAGTCAGAGAGAGAGAGAGAGAGAGAAGGGGGCCTTGGAGACAGGTTCAGGGGGTAAGCCTGGGATGAGCTGCTGCTGCCCGTTGCTCCCCTGGTTGCAAGTCTCATGGGTTCCCCCTGGAGGGATGGAGATGGGTCTTTTGTCCTGAGGGTATTTATC